GCAGCGTCATAGAAGTTCCAAGGTCGCCCCAAACTTGAAGCCAGTGGTGCCACGCCTCTCTCCCCGAGCGGACCTCCACGAAACCTCTCGGTCGAGTGGACAGTTCGTGGGTTGAGTGTTTCTGCAAAGTCGACTCGCTAGTTGTTGTTGTTTTTTACTGTGTTTATGTTTCTTGCTTCCTGGAAGTGGTGACTGATTCATCAGGTAGGGGAAAGATGAGATATTATGGGATAATTCTTGACGGAGGCATGGTCGTCTTACTTTGAGCATTCCCTTTTATATACAGCATGGATAATACAACACATACACATTATATATTACTATATATTATATATACTATATATATATATATATATATATATATATAATATATATATTCATGTATGTGTGTGTGTGTATATATATATATATATATATATAATATATATATATATATATATATATATAATATATATATATATATATGAGTGTGTATACATATATACATGTATGCATATATATGTATATGTAAATAGAAAGATAGACAGATTGATAGATAAATAGATAGATAAATAGATGATAGATGAATAAACGTGTTGACAGGTTCTGCCCTACTTCCAAGACATCGCGACGAATTAATGAATAAGGGCACCAAGACGAGCAAAATTTCTGTCCATTTCTGATGTAATCGAAAAAAAATAGTAATAACACAACCCGGAACGAATCAAACAAATACTGAAAAAAAACATCTCATTACTCAGTATGTGCAATGAGACGTGTGCATCTATACCAGCTTAGACCTGATATTTTCTTTATTGGCTGGATTTCTGTTGCAAAATCGCATTATAGACAGGGTCAGGGTCACCCACACGGTCTCACTGGACAAGAAACGTAAACGAAGAAGCAGAAATTTTCCGCGTGGAGTTTCTCGTTGTCGTCTGGAAGAGCGATTGATTTGGGAAACCTTCGTTTTTCATTCTATTATCTATATATTTGTTATTATTGTTTATTTCATACTGATTTCATTTTTCTTCTCTCGGCGCATGACGGTGACAACCCCTTCTTCATGCTGGTAAAGACGACATCCAGTTGGCCAGACACAGATGTGGGTCGTCTCAAGGGGGGCTATAACCCCTCCCCTGATGGAATATTTAATAAAAATCTGATAAACTTATCACTTAAAATGATTACCTCTTTAAGCATGTATGAATAAGCGTCTCAGTATCTTCTACATGTATAAATAGTGGTAAGGGTTTAGTTGTAGGGATGGCATTTGTTTTATATCCGCGGCCCTGTAAATCCTAGATTTATTAAAGATTTAACTATCGTCTTGGCAAGACACGAATTCGTTCTAGGAGAAACTACAACAGAAATCACCTCAAAGAGTAAAGGAAGTTGTGGTGTCTTGTTCCCTGCAGGAATTACTGTGAAAAACTTTCATAGCAGAACCTGTAGCATATAATAAAGAAGAGCGCCTGGCAATATTTATTTCTATGATTATTTCTTTCTTGGTGTAGGAAATATAGCTACTGTAAAGATAGCAAGAGAGCGATATCTACGGCCTCTAGATATGATCCAGCTTCATGATAAGATAAATATAACTTGTAAAGGTACTTAGCACCCAACTTTCTATATGAAAAATAACAGAGGTAAACAAACACACAGGCACAAACACACAGAGAACATATGTATACACACAAACACACAGAGAACATATGTATACACACAAACACACAGAGAACATATGTATACACACAAACACACAGAGAACATATGTATACACACAAACACACAGAGAACATATGTATACACACAAACACACAGAGAACATATGTATAACCACACAAACACACAGAGAACATATGTTACACACAAACACACAGAGAACAAATGTATACAACACCAAAACACACAGAGAACATATGTATACACAAACACCACGAGAACATATGTATACACACAAACACACAGAGAACATATGAATACACACAAACACACAGAGAACATGTATACACACAAACACACAGAGAACATATGTATACACACAAACACACAGAGAACATATGTATCACACAAACACACAGAGAACATATGTATACACACAAACACACAGAGAACATATGCATACACACAAACACCACAGAGAACATATGTATACACACAACACACACACAGAGAACATAGTATACACACAAACACACAGAGAACATATGTATACACACACACACACACAGAACATATGTATACACACAAACACACAGAGAACATATGCATACACACAAACACACAGAGAACATATGTATACACACAAACACACAGAGAACATAATGTATACACACAAACACACAGAGAACATATGTATACACACAAACACACAGAGAACATATGTATACACACAAACACACAGAGAACATATGTATACACACCAACACACAGAGAACATATGTATACACACAAACACACAGAGAACATATGTATACACACAAACACACAGAGAACATATGTATACACACACACACCG